CTCTATGTGAAGGAGAGCAACAGGTCCCTACAAGCTGAGATTGGCACCCAAGGAGTACAATTGGAGACCCTTTAGGTTAGAATACGAAGGGAACATGGTGAAGGGGATACAGTGGTAGGAGTCTACAACAAACCTCCAAATCAGGAACATGAGCTTGACCAAGAATTCACCAAGGAACTGGCCAGGGCTGCATGCTCTCGGTGCACGGTTGTCATGGGAGACTTCAACTACCTCGACAGCTCATGGGGTGAGCACCCGGCCAAATTCAATCAGTCTCAAAGCTTCCTTACATGCATGGATGAGCTCTACCTGTCTCAAGAAGTTTATGGGCTGACAAGAGGTAAGGCACTGCTGGACCTGGTATTGGCCAATCTAATCAGTGACCTAAGAATCGAAGGGAAGCTGGGTGACAGTGACCACGAGTTGATCACTTTCCATGAGTTGATCCATTGCAAAGCTGGCAAATCAGCCAGCAATGCAGTAATCCTCAACTTTAGAAAAGCTGACTTTCATAAGCTCAGGAGGCTTGTTCTTGAGGCCCTGAGAGGCCATGATATCACAGGGAGGGGAGTTCATAGTGAGTGGATGCTCCTTAAGGAAGTGATCCTAGAAGCACAAGGGGAGTCCATCCCAATCTGTGGGACTGAGGCCAGGAAACAGCTCCTGCTGCAGCTGGCAGAGTTCTCATGGCCCTGTGCACATTGGGACTGATCCCCATGCTCCCTGCCAGCCCCCAAACTAGCACCCAGGGGATGCCTGGAGCTGTATCCTTGGACCAGGCTGATCCCGTTTTTGCCAGATCTGCTCCCAACAGGTAGCTTGTGTATACATGCTCCCAGGGAAGGCTAACTGCACAGTATTTTACTGCATAGTAAACCTTTATGGCATTAATGGTACATGTAGATGCACCCACAATAAAGCTAGGTTATGCAGGTTACAGAAATGTAATGCTTTTTCATCCTGAATTCATATCAAACATACCATTTTCTACCTTTATATTTGTACTGAACTATGCTTATTGTGTATATTAAAATATACAAGATAAAACCTTTGGGCTTTGAAACCTTAACTTTATGTATTGGGACTGTGCACCCTTCAGTGATTGCATGACAATGTGTACAGTATCAGAAGAATAACATAGGCTTTTTCCCCAGTAGACTGTAAACCCTTCTGGTCAGGGATTACCAATCTTCTGCCTTTGTAAAGAGTTTAACATACTAGGTGCCACCAAAATATATTTACAATTTTTTAAAATATTGACAATTTAAAGGGTTTTTTGTTGTTGTTCGTTCTAAAAAGAAAGATCTGAGAGAGTAATTAGCACTTATTATGCCAATTAGATAATGAAATTCACAACTCACTGTACTGAATTGGCTACAGGAGATCTAGAGAGTTAGTTCACACCTTTGCTGCTGCTATCATTTAACTGAGGACAATATTCTACAAAAACGATTTAACAAGGCAGCAGCGCTAAACATGATTGCGTACTAAAAGTCTTATCATGACAAATAAAAGGAAAAACAAACTATTTTCAGTAACAGGTTAATTTGCAGAATGGATCAAACATTAAAAAAAAAGGTTGAAATTACTCTAAAATTGCTGACCTCACAATTTTCACAAAACCCAGACTTTGCCAGGCTTTTTCCTATGCATGAAGTTAAAGGCACACGCCCATGTTTAAAAGCTAATTATTTAAAATAACAATTAATACCATTTTATGTTATGCTATTAAACTGAAAGGCTTTTTAAGAATCTTATTATATTTATATGCTTGCACTTCCTTCAGACTGAGAAGTGATAACAGTCAGCCTATTTTGAAGATTACTTATGCACTAGAAGTAGGCATGTGATTCAGAACTCTGATGAACTGAGAGGCCTAAGGCACAGGATACTAATTTTTGATGCACAGAGAACAGTACTTTGTTTACTCCTCCCTGCTCTACTCTAGGGATATTTCTATACAGCAAACAACAGTTTTTTGAAATACTCCAGGGGTTTTCAAACTTTTTTAGTCCAAGTACTCCTGGCAGTCAGACCCCGAGCTGGGGGCAGGAGTGGGTGGGGTAGCAAGTGGCCAGATGCTAAGCCAGGGACAAAGGGGGTTGGCATGCAGCCAGACGCTGAGCAGGAAGGTGGGGACGGCATGCAGGCAGGCAGGGATGGAGCAACACTGCCTCCCAGAAGCAGGGCTGGGGCAAGGCAGGGAAGCTCACTGTGGTGGCGGCAGCCGCCATGTGTGAGCTTTCCTGCCCCTAGGAGGCAGTGGCACTTCATCCCCACCCGCCCACATGTACCCGCTAGGACTGGTCCAAGTACTTCCGGTTGACAACTCCTGAAATACACCACTGCTGCTTTGCACAGGCTGCCATCTAAACTGGAAGCAGTGTAACTGGTTGTGTAGCGTTTCATGTAAGATAATTAATCCTGCTTAGTGACAGTGCCTATTAGACCACACCTACACTCACTGGTGGATCTAGGATTTTGAAAATGGGGAGGGGGGTGCAGATGGTGTGGTGCATCATCTCATATTATATGGCATCTTTTTTCAGTGTAAAGAGAGACTAGAAGTTGTATTAATATGCTAAGGGCCCAGGACTACATTATTCAGTTTAAAATCAAAGCAAAAACAAATATAACTTTATCAGAACACATACCAGTTGTCAGATTCTATGTTAAGTTTAAAAAACAAGCTGAGCAAAAGTGGTCAAAATAGTGAAAAGTTATTGTTTCATTATTGCTAATTGTACATCCTTTTTTCAAATTCATAAAATAAAATCTAGTCTTCCTGAGCATCTTGACAGTGCCACCAATACTTCACTGTTGGTCATTTCTACACCTGAATTAATATTACTACACCTGAGTTAAGGTTTTTCGCTACAGCTAAAAAACAGTCTGCAGGGCTCGAATATAGAAGACACACATTACCAGGAAGGGCTAACAGACAGCAAAATAGAAGAAGAAAGGATAGTTTGAATAGTGGAACATCAAGACAGTTAAAGAGGATAGAGAGTCATTAACACCTAAGGAATGAAAAAGGTTAGCAGGAATTAGGTAGATTATAAGGAGCTATCAAATCAGTTGACTCAATCAGTGCTGTCTGAATAGAAATGCCACTGTCTCTCTAAAGTGCCTAAAGTGCTTAGCCACACCCTTGCAATAGGAGCACTATTTGTTAATTTGGCCACATCTGTGTAAGATGCTGACTGCCCAGTAGCATATTACTACTGTGTAGTAGCATCACATGGCATGAACACTGGTTACTGCACAGTCATTTAGTATTTGTGTATGTAAGTACTAAATGACTGCACAGTAACAACTGCACAGTCAGCGTCTTGTGTAGATGCAGCTTTGTTAACTTAATTTGTTGACTTGTTAGTCAAACCTTCCAGTTTAGTCATTTGAAAGATTTCTATGAAAAGAAAACAATAAGATCAGTGGTAACATTTTTGCTGTTGAAAAGTTTATCAATATCTGCCTAGATCAGGGGTGACCAACCCGCAGTTCTGGAGTCTAAACATCTGAGTCCAAACTGAGTTACTGTGAGCAGTCATGTCACATTACATGACATAATAGCTACGAAAGCTGGTCACCTTGTGCTTGTGCAAAAATTCAAGGAGTTGCAAGTTAACTTCTGAAGAGCTGCGTGTGGCTCCAGAGCCATGTGTTGGCCACCCCTGGCCTACGGTATGCCAAATGACTGGGTAACATTCACTCTGCTGCTCGAAGCAAAAAGACAAAAGCCCTGAGTTTCCAAGTGGAAAGTTTCCAAGTGGAAAGTCATGGACTCTAGGGCTGGTGATTCCCAGTTCCATGGAAGCATTTTCACAGGCATTCAGTTCCCTTCTCTGGAGGCAGGCCTATCTTTGTTCTATTGCCTTCGCTACACCAGTCCTCCTAGACAAAGTTAATGCTGCTCCACCAGCAGTGACTCAGGCCCTTTTTCTTACCACAGAATTTGGACCATCTTCAAGAAGGTCTACCCTTTGCAGCAGTGTGTAGCAATGCACAAGACACCTATTATCTATCTGAAGACTGACGGTGCTGATGATTGTATAATGAAATGTATATATGTTTCCTTGATTCCCAACTCTCCCCTTGCACATTGTGTTAACTGCATGAGTCAGTCTTGGCAATACCTTTTACATCTTCTTGGGTGATAGAGAAGGGTGGAAGTCAAAGAGAAAGAGACACAAATATAATGGTGCCTTCAGGAAATAGTTCTTCAAATTTTTAGAGAGAGGTAGTTAGTCATGTTTGTCTCAAGTCAAGCAGAAGGCAGGATAGAGGTACAACTTAAACTAACTGAATCAAAGAAGCAAAAAGCTTTTGTGAGCCAAACCTGTCCTGACTCATAGACTTTCATCCTCAAACGGCATCTCTCAAGCACCAGACTACCTAACTCCTGTTTACACTGAGGCACCAGGCTTTGCAGTGGACACAGGCACAAACTGTGTCCCCTCATCAGTACAGGGCTTGTCATCACTGGACCAATAACTCAGATTATAACACTGAATGTTCATTCACCTGCACATCTACCAACATCACATATGACACTGCCTGCTTACAGTGCCTCTCTACTGCCTACAGTGGACAGAAGGGGCAGTACCTGTATGAAAGAATGAGGGGCACTGACCTAACATCAAATCTAAAAGACACACAAAAACCTATGACAGAACACTTAAGCATCTTTGATCCAATTAGTCTATATTGTTCATCTCTACTCTGCCTTTAAATTTGTAGGTATACTTTATCAGAAAACAAGTCCCAAGCTTATTTTCTCAATGTTTTAAACTAATCAGAGGGAAAGGAGATCAACAATAAAGCTCCAGGTGATATTTATATATATATATAAAACCATGAGTATTTCTACGACCAATAATTGCAGAGTTAGTAACAGAGGAAACTGATTCAGAAAGCTCACACACATGGAATGCACACCTATATACACAGAGAAGACAGAACCTCAAGTCATTGTCTCATCTGAAACTGAATTCTTGTACCTGTAAAATGCATAAATAACTAAGAGGTTGCCTATAATTCCAATGGATCCGATTACAAGAATACAGGTTCCAACTGTGTAAAGAACATGATCAGGAACATCCAATTTGGCCGCAGTAGGGCGCTGAGTTCCCATATCCAACATCTGGAATGAAAAGCAAAGGAAAAATTACCACAATCAGTGCTTTTGTTTAACAGGATAATTAGTCCATATCCTGTATATCCCTCCAACTACTGGTAACACAACATAAACCTCAATAAAACAAGGAAAAACTTATCAAGAATTCATTTTACTAGTAGCATTGACAAGTGCTAACTTTGTTATTTCTCCCCTAGACCTTTAACTTGATCTTTGCAATAGGAAAGACTCAATCTCCTGTGCTTCTCCCAAGTGTTCTGAAAACTCTACATAGACAAGAACAGCAGCCGTAGCACACCCTCTGAAAGCACAAGCTTATTAAATAATTCTGACCTCTGCATTCTTGTCACTGCCTTAATAAAAAGCAACCAGTTCCTTATATGTTTTTCCTTTAAGTTTAAATTTATTCAGGAAAATACAGTTGGCAGTTAATCAACTCAGCTCTTATTAGCATTGTTAATGAGAGCTTTGTGAATTACCAAACAGAGATTATTTACTAAATCATTACAGCTACAGCATGTTGTATAATTTACAAACATACAGAAGACCTACAACCTAGTTCAGCTATATGGAGCTTTAATAACCAATGGGGCTATGGCAATTTATATCTATTGGGGATTTATCTTATAACAACATTTTGCCCTGCTTAACACTCCAAAGTTATACAAAATGCGAGGCAGGCAGATTGTGGCTCATAGGATCTTAAATCAGGTGATAATACAATCTTAAAAAGATCAAGAATATTTGGGGTCTTCTCTGAAATGTATTACAAAATTAAGGGGGCTTTGGAAGGGGAGTTGAAGAATGCAATGGGAATTCTTTTTTTTCCTTTCATTTGATTATCCCATTCTTATGACATCTTACATGTCCCTTTATCCTTCTTCTTCTGACCGGTTTCCATTTTCACTTCTCAACTCTTCAAATCTCCAAGCAAATATCCCTTTCTATCCAAAATTACTTAAACCTCTACTAAATGAACAAAACCTAACTAACTACATGAAACTATCAGCACATATGCCTCTCCCACCTGCTGCTAACCCATTGTTTTCTGTGGTATCACTTCTTGCATCTTGCCTATGATGGTGCAGTAAGATCTTTGGGGGAGAACCTGTCCTTAATTTGTTCTTCGAGGCATGTAGTCTACTTTTGTGTACTGTGAAAAATAAGGATAGGCCAGATAGCACCCCTTCCTGTGAGAAGAGTGTAAGCAGACACTCAACATGACATACTTTCCATGCTTTCACCAAGGCACCAGGCCTAGCAACAGACCCACATGCCATTTGTGCCCCCTCATCAACACAAATTACATCATCACTAGACCAAATAACACAGATTAGAACACCTGCGGTTCATTCACCTGCAAATCTACCAACATCATATATGCTATCACTTTCTTACAGTGCCCTTCTGCTGTCTACATTGGACAGACAGGAGGAGCCCTAAGCATAAAAATGAATGAGCAGTGATCTGATATCAATTCCATAACAATACACAAGCCTGTGGCAGAACACTTTAATTTCCCAGGACATTCCATCACTGACCTCAAGAGTAGTTGTTCTTAGAAAAAGTTTAGAAACCAACTTAAACAGGAAATTGCAGAACAAAAAACTATCCAAAGACTGAATGATGCTACATAGGGTCTATACATAGACTATGGATTCTTATCCCATTACCTGGATTAATTTTTGTGACCCATTTGTTCCTATGGATTTATTGCTTGTTTTCCTTTTCCAGCACTGCACCCACTCTCCTCCTTATCTTTTGTAATCAGACCACAGTCTCCACTGTATACACTGCTCTGTGCATGTCCTTTCACAGGCTCTTTTAAAGTGAGATTGGGCTCCTGAAAGCCTATGCTACATATCTCTCATTTAGTTAGTTTATAAAAGTACATCCCGCAAGAGGCATATATAAAAGTTCTCCAGAGAGATTCAAACTTTTAAGGGACCCAACTGAAGTAAAACTTCATTTGGGACTCACTCTCTGGTGGAGACACATGGGCAGAAGCCTGTCATGCCCCCTGAGAGCCTCAGACCCCCCCGGCGGACCTCCATGATCCCCAACCCCCAGCACGGAGCCAGGAGGTAAGCAGGGGACCATGTCTGGTAACCAGACAGTGGTGGAAGGCAGCTGACTGGGGCCAAGGAGGGCCCCCCCTACTGCTATTTAGCCCAGCCCCCAGGGAGTCGCACAACTGGAGCCACACAAGCAGGTGTGCTCTGGGCCTGGCACGTGAATCAGCACAGGAGTTTGAGCAGGAGGGTGTGTGGAGGGGCCATTAGCGGGCATTCTCAGCCCTGAGTTGACCCCCAGCACACCCCATGGCACACCTCATGCCTGTCGCGCCCCCAGGCAGCCGAAGCCTCCCACACCATGGGATAGACCTCTGACGCTGGATTTCGGGTAAACGGGATAAGGGATCAGCCGTCCACACCCTCCAGGGAAGAACCCATGGACCTAGGCACTCCCCCACTTCCCCAGGAGGCCAGGAAGCCAGGGAATCCTCCTGTGGGCAGCTATGTGAGCCTGTCTGCCAGGCCGCAGCAACAGCAACAGCTGCCGGAGAAGGCCATGTGGGGGTAATTACACCCACCTGGTCTCCTACTCAAACAAGCACCTACAGAACTGTGCAAACAGGGCCCACCCTGCAATATGGTGATGGGCACATGCTGCATCTCTAGGCTTCCTGATCTGAACGGACCTCCCTGACTTGGTACCTCCAAGGTCTTTACCCAGACAGAGCCTATGGTCCCAACCACCACCCAGACGGAGCCCTACACTCCAGGCTGTGGAGGCTGCCTGGCATGTCTGCTGGATGCTGGGATCTGTGGTTCAAGCACTCCCACTTGTGGAATGTGCTCGCTGGTGGAGACTCTGGAGGGCCAGTGAGGGAGCTCCAGGAGGACGTGAGCAGACTGCGAATCATCAGGGAACACAAGGCAGATATTGATGCTTACTGCCAGGCCCAATATCTGGAGAAGGATGTCATGGAGACCAGGCAGAAGAGCAGGGCTGAGCAAGATGCCCCAGCCTACAGTGGATGGAAACTGGTCACATCAGGCCCAAAGCCATGATGTGCAGGGCAATTGGTGGAGCAACTGATGCACAACAACTACACAGCCTTCACACCATCAGCGGACAAAGGATCTATATCCTCTGTACTGAAGACAGGACAGGAACAGCCACTCCCACCAAGAAAGCAATGAAGGGTGATTGTTGTGGGAGGCTCTGTGCCACAGGAAACAGAAGGTGCTATTTGTCATCCAGACCCCCTTGCTCAAGGAGTCTGCTGCCTTCCAGGAGCCAGGATCCAAGATGTAATGAAGAGAATCCCAAAGCTGGTCAGCCCTATGGACCACTACCCCATGTTCTTGTCCATGTGGGCACCAATGACATGGTGAGAAACAACCCTGAGAGAATCATGACTGACTACAAGACCATGGGGGCAAAGCTCAAGGAACTAGGGACACAAGTGGTCTCCTCTTCAAACCTCCCAGTTAGAGGCTGTGGTTGTCAGAGGGATGAAGTCAACTAAAGGGTTTGGAGATGGTGTCACAATGTTGGTTTTGGATTCCTCAACCTTGGCAGGAAGTGCTGTGGAGCATGACACAGAAGAGGCACTGGCATGCCCAGCAGGTACTCTGGAAGGAGGACCAGGAAGCGCCATGGAGCATGGCACAGGAGAGGCACTGGCATACCCTGGATCCTCTCTGGGAAGAGGACCAGGAAACACCGCAGAACATGGTAAGGGAGAGGTGGGTGGCACGGGGGCAGGGAGGAACTGGCTGCGTGCTGCAGAACCCCTGGGTGGAGTAAAGGGGACGTTGGAGCCCCATGAAGAAGCCCAGGTGAGAGACCCAATGGGCCACCTTCCAGGAACAGGAACAACCACCAGAACACACAGGTAGTGCAAACTTAGGGTCTCACCTTGATATTGCTGTAGGTCAGGGCACTGGTTAAGTGGAGACGTAAGCCCTACACCTACCAGCACCCAGTCATCTTCTGGCTGCTCCTCTCCGGGGCAGGAAATACCCATTCTTGTGCTATGAAAATGTACTCCTTGCTTCAGCACACTCACTGTTCCAGCCAGGCTGCTCTTAGCACCTGAGGTAAGTACTTCTTCCTGCTCAAGTTTCTCAGGGCTTTTCTCCTGTCCTGCTCTCTTCCCCTCATACTTGCCTTAGCTCCAAGCTCCTGAGGAAGAGGGACAGCTGTCCCTGGCTCTGGGGGCAGCTCCAAGCCACATGGAACTCAGAGTTATTTCTCTTAGACTAAGATTGCACCCTATTGGGTGCGTCTCCATGAGATGCTTCATTGCACATTAGGCTAACCTAATGCACAGTAAAGCACCACCATCTACATGTGTGCAGCAATTACTGCACAGTATATTCATCTAATGCACCGTTTTATAGTACCTGTATATATATTTATAGTACCTGTGTACATATAGAAAACAGCAATTAACTAATGTACCATACTGCACAACTAGATGCTAGCCCAGACAGCAGAGGTCCATAGAGGGAGGGGAGAGCTGCGGCGGGACACAGGCAGATTGGGGCATGGGACTAAGAAACTGTCCCCTCCCCCAGCAGCTGTTTCCTAGTCCTGTGCTCCAAATGGTAGATCGGGGCACAGGGCTGGGAAATTGTCCCCTCCCAGTAGGGGCACAACAGCTTCCCAGCCCTGTGCCTCAATCTGCTGATCAGGGTGTGAGGCTGGGGGGCAGCTGCTTGGGGAGGAAACAGTTCCCCCCACTCTTTGCTGCAATTTGCTCCCAGTTATCTGTCTACATGTGTGTTAGACAATGTGCAGATAATCTACTATCTTCTTCCAATTATTTGGACAGGCCATTTCTCATATAAAAAAATGTACCAGAGAAGGGAAAACAAGATCATTATAAGTCTGAGTGTGACCTGATGATGGGGGGGATTAACAAATCAGAATAACCAGGATTACTTGGTAGTGAATTGTGAAGAACCAGCTACTTTATACGGTAT